CAAGGACCATTTAAATTTGGTTGTACATCATTAACAATATCTGATAAAATTTTATCAAATTTAAATCTTGATACAGATATTTTTTGTTCACCAAATGGTATTGCATTTGTTAAAAGACATATACGACGAGGAATATTACCTGTTATGCTTGAAGAAATTTTAGCAACACGTGTTATGGTTAAAAATACAATGAAATTAATTGATAAAAAATCTACACTTTATAGAACATTAGATGCAAGACAATTATGTTTAAAATTAATTGCTAATGTTACATTTGGATATACATCAGCTAGTTTTAGTGGACGAATGCCATGTGTTGAGGTAAAATATTATTGTTGGGTCTACCAGGATTAACCAAAAGTGTTCATTATAGAGAGATTTTTCAGTTTCTGTTTTTGTAATCGCTTATAGGCTACACATGGCGACCCTTTTCCTCTTTTCAACAATGTATTAATTCAACTGTTAGCGTCAATAGATGATACTATGTAACGCTAACTTAATTGAACTTGGTTCAATTGGTCTTTTCTTATTTTTTTCTTTCATTTATTGGTGTCTTCTCTTTCGTTCATTCTATAGCTAGATTTTTCTTTTTCGTTCTGTCTTTCTCTCTCTTTGGGATTTTCTCAGAATTTGATTCAGGTCAGTTGAACTTTTTCCTATCTAGTGGAAGGTTGTATTATATTATCTACAATATCTCTTCCGTTATTATTATTATTATTATCATTAGTGATATACTTATAATAAATTCTCCTTCCCCCTCCCCTTTATATTATTTTTCGTATTCCATTATTTCATTATCACGTAGTCAATTCCAAGGTAAGATCTTTATACTTTTGCGCCCCAATAATAACACATTAAGGTTGACCTAACATCAACGTTTTTAGTTAGAGGTAAATTAACACATGTTGACAAGATTTGATGCTACTAGTTGTTAATATAAAAACGATGGAATGTTACACCAAGTACTGTTGCTGTTGTCTAATATTGTTTTTTTTTCCTTTTAATTTATTATTTATGGGACCAGGAATGGGCGCTCACTGTTCCAAATAAGGAAATCCTCACATAGAGTTTTTACTGTAGTAATAGCAGTCAAATTTAGACTTCAAAATGTCTAATAAAAGTTTATCAACTTGACGAGGATATAAGGATTTCGATATGAATTTTGAACAGAAAAACATATAAATATGCTTATAATAAAGATCAATGTGAACATCGTTTTTTCTTCATTTTCTTTATATCTGAACAACAAAGTTTGAATTAGAAATATGCACTGCGCCTAAGAACCGAGGCAAGAGTAGCATAGAGCGGTCACAGCTAACGGTAGCTGAAAAAATTTTTTTCTTCTTATTTGTTGCTCTAAAGTATCTCTCAAAAAATAGTGCTTTATTTCTGAACATTTCCTCAAGAACAAGATAAAGGTTGGAAATACCACGAAAGAATACTTAATTAGGCAAGATGTAACCGAACATATATATACTTATAGGATGTTCATTTCCGTCTTAACTTATTTTGTAGTTAAGTTTGCGCACATTTAAGTTTAAGGTAAATTTAAATATAATGCTCATCACGATTGACGCAAGAATTGACCGATCGCTAGAATCCATCGGGTCCAAAGTTTTCCGACCTGATCCAGGATCAATCTGATGGGTTCTAGTATCCGTTCAAAAATGAGTTATACATGCTGTTAGGATGCAGGCGGTGCACATCTCTGGTGTGGATATAAAAAGACTTACAATCGAAACTAATGAAAATGTTGAAAAAAAGAAAAACACTTTATATTTTAATGTTTCCTTTTCTCTAATACTAATCGTTTTACGATATTAAAGCATACTTTTGTTTTTTTGTTTATATAATCTCTCTAATTGTATTTATAATAATAGGTTGGCGATACAATTGTACACACAGCTCGTACTGTTCTTGAACGTGCTATTGATTTTATTAGAACAAATCCACATTTTGGTTGTCGTGTTGTTTATGGTGATACTGTATGTTGTTTATTTTCTAAAATTTAATTTCGAGATTTTACAGCTTTGTTTTTCTCTTTAGGATTCATTGTTTATTCAATTTCCACATTCAACTCGTGCTCAAGCTTTTGAACAATCACATTTACTTGTTAAAGCACTCAATCAATTATATCCATCACCAATAAAAATTAAATTCGAAAAAATTTATATGCAAAGTGTTTTAGCATCTAAAAAACGTTATGTTGGTATGTCATATGAAACAATTGATCAACAACAAGGTAAATTTGATGCTAAAGGTATTGAAACAGTTCGTCGTGATACATGTTTAATTGTATCAAAAATTCTTCAACAATCACTTAAATTATTATTTCAAACTAAAGATATAACACGTGTACGTCGTTATGTACAATTTGAATGTGAAAAAATTTTAACAAATCGTTTTAATTTACTTGATTTTATATTTGCTAAAGAATATGGTGGTAAAACACGATATCATCCATTAGCACCTGTACCAGCTTTACGTATTGCAATTGAACGTTCAAAAACAAATCCATTAGCTGAACCAAATCAAGGTGAACGTGTACCATATGTTATTGGTTTTAATACAGAATTAGTAAATGCAAATTTAATTGATTGTGTTTGGACATTAGATAATGTACTTAATTATAAATCACAATTTAAACTTAATTCAATGTATTATATAAAAAAACAAATTTTACCAGCACTTGATCGTTGTTTAGCATTAATTGGTGTTAATGTTTTTAAATGGATTGATAATTTATTAATTGATATAAATTCAAATGATAGACAACAAGGATATAATTTAGATGAAAATCTTCGTAAAAATAATCTTCATCAACGATGTATTATTTGTTTACAATTAACAAATACACCATTATGTAATGAATGTCGAGAAGAAGAAGATTTATCTGAAACAATGATTATATGTGAAAATAAAGCTAATAAATTAGAACGACAACATGCAAATTTACAAAGAATGTGTTTTGCATGTTCAGATCGTATGGATGGATGGTTTCAATGTTCAACAATTGATTGTCCAATTAGATTTCGTCTTCATAAAATTACACAATTAATGCAAAATGCACAAGAAACAAGAAAATTTGTATATAATGAATGTTGAGTCTCATATTTTTTTTTCTCTTTATGTGTCATACGACTTTTTATTATCGAAATAAATAAAATTATACTGTGATTGTATTATGAAAATTGTTCATATAATGATTTCTATTGATGGAAATAAGCAGACATTGAATTACAAATTGATAGAATAATATCCGTTAGCTAATGTTCATCT